GACCCTCGATGGCGAGCTGCTATGCAGGATGAGATTTCTGCCTTGGAAAATAATGGCACGTGGGATGTGGTCTCTCTTCCCTCTGGGAAACATGCTATCCGGTGCAAATGGGTCTTTAAGATCAAACACAAGGCCGATGGTACTGTTGAGCGATATAAAGCGCGTCTAGTAAGTTTGGGGAACAATCAGGTGGAAGGTCTTGATTATCATGAGACTTTTGCTCTGGTCGCCAAAATGGTTACAGTCCGACTGTTCTTGGCTGTAGCTGCTGCCAAACATTGGGAAGTTCACCAAATGGACGTTTACAATGCTTTTCTGCATGGTGACTTGGATGAGGAGGTGTATATGAAGTTCCCGCCTGGCTTTCGTACTGGTGTTGATGGACAAGTTTGTCATCACCGTCGTTCTCTGTATGGCTTGAAACAGGCTCCCCGCTGCTGGTTCGCCAAGTTGGCAACGACTCTCAAACAATATGGTTTCTTTCAGTCCTACCATGATTATTCTCTTTTTACCCTGCATCGTGGTTCTGTTCATCTACAGGTATTGGTGTATGTTGATGATCTGATAATTTCTGGCAATGAGACCTCCTCCATTGTAGATTTTAAAAGTTATTTGAATCGTTGTTTCCACATGAAGGATCTTGGGTTGTTGAAGTATTTTCTGGGTATTGAGGTTGCCCAGAATGCTTCTGGCTTCTTTCTCTGTCACCGGAAGTAGGGCTGGTATCGGTTCGGTTACCGAACCGATACCGAACAGATTATTTCGGTAACTACAAATATGAAACCATTACCGATTCAGTTACCGATAACTTGGTTCGGTAACGGTTTTCTACCGAAAAAAACTAAAATTTACCAATAATAAATGAGAGGGCCATTTTTTTTTTTTTTGTTAGTGGGTGAGATGAGCATGCATGAAATTAATACTCATCGAATTTTGATTATTGTACTTATACACCGATTAATAGAAATATACAAACTATAAAATTAATCCACAAATGCGGAAAGTGGTCGAGCATACTACGACTTTTGCTGAGGCAAATTTGTCCCCGAACAGGACATCCAATATCCAGAATGAATGTTAGCAACCGTTGAATTTCCTGAATATTGCTTATGATGGTTTTCAAGTCCTGAATATTGCTTAGTAATTATATCCAAAAGCTGCTTGCTCTGTTATGCATTCACAAGCTATATAACATAAGTTATTACTTATTAGTTATTAGTATTAAGTTGTTAATTATTCGTTGAAATTATTAATATTAGTATTAAGTTATTAACTATTAACATTAAGTATTATTTTTTTTTAAATCCCTTATTGGTTCGGTTCGGTAAAACCGAACCTCTGTGGTTTCGAAATCGATACTGTACCGATAACATATCGGTAACCGATAAACGATTACCGTTTTAAGTGTGTCGGTTCGGTTTGGTTTTTTTTCTCGTCGGTTCGGTTCGGTTTGGTTCGGTTTTTGGTTTTCAGTCCAAAAATGCCAGCCCTAACTGGAAGTATGCTCTCGATATTATTGTTGAAACCAGACTATTAGGAAGCAAGCCAGCCGATTTCCCGTTCAACAGAATCATCAGCTTCCTCTCGCTGAGGGTGCTCTCTTATCCGATCCTGAGCGCTATCAACGTTTGGTAGGGCGACTTCTTTATCTAGCAGTTACTCATCCTGAGTTGTCCTATTAAGTGCATATGCTTTCTCAGTTCATGCATCAACCACGACAGTCTCATTGGGACGCTGCACTGCGTGTGGTCCGGTATTTGAAGGGCTCTTCTGGTCAAGGGATCCTTCTTCATTCTGATTGTGATCTTCAACTTTATGTGTGGTGTGATTCGGATTGGGCGACTTGTCCACTCACTAGACATTCTCTTTCGGGTTGGTTTATTCAGGTGGGTCAGTCTCTTATTTCTTGGCATACCAGGAAACAACATACTGTTGCTCGATTCTCTGTTGAGGCTGAATATCGGGAAATGGCTACTACCTTGTGCGAGCTGAAGTGGTTACGGGGATTATTCTCTTGTCTTGGTGTCGCTCATTTTAGCCTATGCAGTTGCATTGTGACAGTCAATCTGCTCTGCACATTGCTGCGAATCTGGTTTTTCACGAGCGCACTAAACATATTGAGGTGGATTGCCACTTTGTTTGTGATGCTCTTTTGCAGGGTCTCATCACTACTACTCATGTTCCCTCTGGCGCACAGCTGGCTGACATCTTTACTAAGGCGCTTGGGAAACGGGGATTTGATTTCTTTCTTGGCAAGTTGGGCATTCGTAATCCGCATGCTCCAACTTGAGGGGGAGGGGGGGGAAGGGGGATGTTATTGTGTATTATATTTGTATTTACTGTTTTAGCCTTATGTATACTTATGGTAATTGTAACCCTAAAAAATATGTATATATATTCGATTTATTTTCAGCGGCATCATCGAGAATAGATGACCGTCATATTTCTCTTGTCTCGTCTTTAGCAATCTACAATATATTGGTAGTCATTTATTTAAAAAAACAATCATTAACCCCTAATTAATGTCATCCATAATGGATTTAATATATAGATTAATTCACGCAGGACAAGGTTCAGTTGTGCTATACACTAGAAAAATTGAAGAAGAAAAATATAATATAAAATGTGGCATCTTATTATAGTCAAAAGATCATGGCCCTAACATATATAAAAGCTTTTCTAAGATTTTTTTTTTTTTGAAACGATAGAAATATTATAAATCAAAAAACACAAATGTGCGAAAACACAGCAGCCAACGGCTGAATACACAGCAGCCAACAGCTGAAAAAAGTGGGAGGACAGGTCAGAAGACCGCCTAGAATCCCGGCTAGCAACGTTAGAAAAAAAAAACACACTACTAAACTAACCAACAACACAAACAACTAAAACAACTACAAGACCCCAACAGGGTGATACCCGAGTGTCGGACCCCAACAGGGTAATACCCGAGTGTCGGACCCCAACAGGGTAATAAGGTGACACTCGGGCGCACAGAGTGACACTCGGGCTCACAGAGGTCAACACACTAAACACACACTAAACAAAATACACACTAAACATAACAAACACACACTAAACAAAACGAGACTAGACAAAACAAAACAACAACGAGAGCCCTTCCCCACAGCGGAGAGCCACACCGAGCACAACAATGGCAGAGTCGCAGCCCAAGATCCCAACCCAGAAACTGCAAGAGAACGCCTAACTGAATCGAAGACCCACGGGTTGGCCCAACCCTCGTCCAGGCGAACAACCCCACTGCCACCCGGAGAAAATTGCACCCAACCAATCAGTCAAAATTAGTTCGGCAATTGCTGATGACTACGAACCATAAGCAGAGCAGCTCAGCCGACAACCACGCCTCCAAAACGCATCCCCGACCCAATGATCGCCGATAATCCCTCCTTCTACATTCAGCCCCAAACCCCGCAATTGCCGACTACCCCGAGTCTCGAGCAGCCCAACAATCACAGCTCCAAATCACAGCATCAACCGTGCAATCACCGGTGACCACTTAAACAGGCCGAGAAGAAACAAATTCACCGGATCCCTTTCTCAACCCCAAACCCTAAATCGGAAATTGGGGTCACAACCCCTTCCAAGAGAGTGCCAGAGGGCCACCGAAATGGAGATACCGGAGGAGAACCATCCACCCGCAACTCACTCCCGGCACCGGATGCGGAAGCCGGAAAGAAGGCACGACCGTCTCCCCGGCGAAAAAGCTCCCCCTACACCGTGCGGCACTACTCTAAGAAACGGGCTGCGAGGCTCAGGAGAGCCACCACTGTGCACTCGCCGCGCCCTACTGGAGAAGGCGATAGATTATCGACGGGAACTGCGAGGAGAGGTGAGAGGAAAGGGCGACGAGAGAAATTTTTTAGAGAGAGAAATTTTATGCAAACTTTGTATAAGCTCACTAAAGGGATATTTGCTCAGATTGATTCTACCCATTCTTTAAACATGTTAATTGAACGAATTTTTCCTATATTTATTTTATTTTGTATGTTTTTTCTTATATTTTTAAATTGCACGAATTCCCCTATTTAACTTGATGCGTGGTTTGCCCCTATCCATTAAACTTAAGCAGGATTATAAAAGCAATTTCAAATTTTTATAAAATTAAAAATTGAGTAAACACATTATATTTGATGGATAGTAGACAATCATGCACAAAGTTAAATATAGAAGGATTT